CAATGGAACTGGAACTTCATTATGATCATAAAATCACGCCACCCTTGCTCTCTTCTTCCTCATGCCACCCTCGAGTCTGGCCATGATAACAAAATCTCTCTCTCTCTCTCTCTCTCTCATGGAGGTGATGCGATGTGGGCCCATTGCCTCATGGATGAGCATATAACGCTAAGGACGGAGCTTATCCATATGCTCGGCTAGGCTGGCATTTTTCCATGGACTCCTCCATGCAGCGCCGGGCCCCTAACTTGATGATGTCGCACACCGCTCCCATATCCCGCTGCGTCACCGCAGTCGCCGCTGACTCACGCAACCGTAAGCCCACGGTTGAAGTCAACATTGACGGTGGGTGTGGCCCTTCGCCGAGCACAACTGGTTTGGGCGAGCCGAGCAGCAGCCAATGTAGCCTTGCTTGCACACGCTGGCGACCTTGCTGCGCCACCCGCTCCTGGGCTCGCCAGCTCCAGAACCTAAGCGTCCACGCTTGATGGCCAGTGGTCCCGCACGCTTCGCCGCCTGCTTTCTGGCCTCACTGCGTGTCAGATCTGGAGCCTTGCCGGCGCCCGTGCTGCGCCGGTCACCGCCCCGTGCGCCACGCCACCTTGCTCGCTGGCCTCGCTGCACCACATACCAGCCTCGCTGCGCCGCTGGCTTTGCTGAGCCGCCGCCTAACGATGCCAGTGGGTATCCACTACCCATCCGTATCCATACCCGTATTGTTTGGGGAGGTATGGATTATCGGCCCTTCTGGGTATGGGAGAGGTAAAACAGATATTATCCACCAAGTAGCACTTAGTGTTGGAGGCGCAGCGTCCGTGGTGGTGGCCGAAGCGCTTGATGGCGGCGGAGTTGATCCCGAATCTTGCGCAGTTGCTACTGGCCTCATCTCTGAGAATCGCAATCGTGCATGGGCAACGCGAGAAGACCATTACAGCGTCGCCCGGGTCACCAGGAACAGCAATCACGCTGTTCGAGCTTCGCCAGGATCGGCGAGGCGCGAAGCAGGCAAAGGTAGAACAGAACTGGAATGATTCACATGTGCAGGCACTCGGAGATGGTGGTGGCCTTCGAGCAGGCAGTCAGAGGGCAGGCAGGTCAAGCAGCGCATGGCAGATCCTGCTTCACCATAGCCCACGGCGCTGTCCCCGCCGCACTGCCCTCGCCGCGGCGTCACGGTGGCCGCTGCATCCTCTGTTGCCCTGTTCTTCTTCGTCCTAAGCATGGCAGGTTATCCATGGGTTATCCGTGCCCATTCGGCGATACCCATTGGGTATGGTCAATCTATGGGGATGGGGATGGATTACCCGTTTTGTGCCTTAGCGGCATCGTTAGCGGCGCCTGCGTCAACCTGGTGCCACCCCACCGTCATGCTTCCACTGGCTGGTTCTGCTGTTTTGACTGGGCATGAGTTGAAGCCCAGAGCGGGAGGCATCTCCGAGGGCAGTTGTAGCTTTACGTCGTCAGCTTAGAGGAGGTGCTGCACGGGTTATCCATGTGCCCCGGCAGCTGGAGCAGATGGAGGGTGGCCATGGGAGGAGGGGCAGGAGGCAGATGCTGATCATGAGAGCAGGAGCAGGCGGTGGGGCTCAACCAGCTCAGGTGGTAGGGAGGGTGTGACATGGGGCCACACATCAGTGAGTGGAGGAGATGGGGTAGCAGAGGCATTTTGGTCCATATGAGAATATAATTGCTTAGAATGGGCCTAACATTGTCCTAAGCGATAAAGTGGCATATTTCATGTACATGAAATCTTATTGGTGGCATGATTCCTTATAGATGAATAATAATAATGGTAGAACTCAGAAAGCGTGACAGCTGTGATGGCATAGATCAAATTAGTCCTAGTTTTTCTTGAGTTCTCTGGTAATTGTGCCGAAATGATCTTTGAATATGCACATTCTAAAACACCTACATTATCTTTTTACATCCAACTTTTGTTGCCTCCTCTGCGAATTCTATGTTTGTGCTGTTGTTGTTTCAGGGCACCGTTGTTGTAGCTAGTAGAGCAAGAGCAATCGTTACATAGTTGGTTTTAATACTGCAATGGGAAGTATACGTGATGCTATGCTAAGAACAGAGGATGTAAAGTAATTGAACACTTATATTTCTTCTCATTTACACCTTCAGTGAGAATTGAACTATCGATCTAACTTCATTCTAACTGTACCTTCCTATGATGTTGCAACTAGTATGCCTCTTTGTACTTTGATTAATTGTAGCCTCACCCCCTGATTTATATGATGACTATTCTCTCACAAGTTAAAATTCTCACAATATTACAGGAAGCAACAACGTTGAAGAAAAGCTTGATGAATTTGGTACTTTTTTGGCAAAAGGTGATCATTATCCTTTCAACAAGTTGTGAGTTGTTTTTCCTTCCAAAACTAAGAAATACTATGGCATGGAAATTTAGCACTGAAGTGATCATTGAAACACTTTATGTATCGACTATCGAGACTGATGACATTATACAATCCGAGCAGCATCAGTTTAACGTTCTTTTCCTGGATCTTAATGTTTAACTTATCATTAGAAGCTGCAGTGTCATTACAGTCATATTGCTGTTAAATATTATAGTGTCACAGAGAGAAATGAAATATTTATTCTGTTGAATGTGGGCCCTGCATTTATTCCAGACAAATCGTGCAGTTCAAATGCCTTTTCAAGCTTCTCCATAATACAATTTTTCGTTTCAGGTGATAGCAGGGATCTGCATACTTGTTTGGGTTGTAAATATTGGACATTTCCGAGATCCTTCTCATGGTGGCTTTGTTAGGGGTGCCATCCACTATTTTAAGGTATGCTGTTGCTCCTATGTTTCAACTTACATTTCTGTAACATTTGATCAGTGTGGGTTAATCTCCCGTCTAGCATGTACTATCTTATTTATTAGGTTGAACATTTGGAAGTTATGCTGTAAAAGTGTGTGTATGTGTGTCTGAGCCAAGACATTATTTAGCCATGTTGATCATTCTTTGGGACCGCATTTGCAGTCTAGCTGGTTGCACTGTCTAACTTGACTATAATTTACAGGCTTCTCTTCCATGAAAGACAGCCGTTTAGATTCTATAATTCCTTTCACAAATGGACTGAGTTTTCTTGTGTTGTTTGTTCATATATATTATGTGTTTCTTTTCATTATAATGTTCTCTGGTGGCATGTATAGTGACTTTTTAGGTAAAAAAACACACACTCTGACAGACCTTAGCTCTTGAAGTTGGGGTTAACAGGCCATAGTATATATTAGTGATTGCAAGATATTGTGCAGTATGCCAACTTCTCCTGAGTTACACTGGTTAGACCATTGAATTCCGGGGTTGATGAAACCCCTGTCACCAATCCAGGTTGAAGGCTGGCACAAACTTCTTAAGGGCATAATCAGGCGTCTCTCCCCCATGGTCGGAGTCTAAGATGTGTTTGGTATGGTTTTATAAGATAATTACATTTGCAGGAACCAAGCAATAGCTTGGTTGGTATTTAGTAGTGCCTCCAGCTGTGAGGGCGCCCACCTGCCCTCAAACCTGGGTACTCTTCGATTGTGTGAGTACCTCCCAAAGGGTTCGGTTCTCCCCTCTTAAGAAATCCTGGAGGATGTCTTCTCATCATGTTTCTTTGTTAGTTTTTACTTCATTGTGTAGGTACAACTTATGCTTCTCCGGTTTATTACCAAGTCAACTGCCCCTGTCAAAAATCTTCTTCACACCTTTATATTTTGTGACTATTAGATGCACTACATCTACATGTTATACATCTTCAACAACTTATCACCAGAGCTGCTAATAAATAATTCATCACTATAGTACACCATTTTAGTTGATTTTGTAAATTACTGCCGCAACTGTGGGTGTATGGTTATGTGACTCATCCTTACTCATCCTAATATTGTTTCTCAAAGCATGTACTGCATTTTGCTCCTAATATTGTCTCTCAAAGCATGTACTCTCTGTTTTTTTTCGTTTTAATAGGTAGCTGTTGCTCTTGCTGTCGTGGCTATTCCAGAAGGTCTCCCAGCTGTTGTAACAACGTGAGTTTCCTGTGAAACAATTTCTCAGTTGTCCCAAGATCATGTTTGCTTAGATGTGGTGTGCATTACTCTATTCCATTCCACATTGAAGTAAATCTCATAAATCATTTGTTTGTTTTTTCTTCTAGGTGCTTAGCTCTTGGTACAAAGAGAATGGCTAGCTTGAGCATGCATTGTTAGGTCACTTCCCTCTGTAGAGACATTAGGATGCACAACAGTTATTTGCAGTGACAAAACTGGTACTCTTACAACAAACATGATGTCTGTGTCAAAGGTGATGTGTTTCTCTTTTATTTAGCCATTTCCATTATGTTATCCTTGTTGCATATACAGGTGCTCAGTAGTTAGTATGATATGTAGCTGAAATCGACAAGCTCTTTTAATTAAAATTATTTTCATGCATACGGCTTAAAAGTGTTTTTAAACATCACAGGTGTGCGTTATTGTGGTCTGTGCATCAGAGACCAATGACTGATGAGTACTCCATTAGTGGAACAACATTTGCTCTGATGGTTTTATTTATGATGCTGGCGGGTTGCAGGTAAATAGCATATTCTCTAGGTTCCATCAGTTTAGGATTTTTTATAGTGCAAAAAATCTGAAAACCTGCATTATTGAACATAAGTTATGTTCTCTTCAATTTATGGGGAGAAAAAATGCTTGCATTTAGAAGGTAACGCCTAGCACCTGAAATTTTAGCAGTTTGTTCAGTTTCATCAAGGAATGATTTTCATTAGGAAACAGAACAAAATATGATTGGTAGTGTATTTCATGCCTTAAATTGACAAAGCCTTCTACCCTACTACTTGCCAGTGCAAGAGGCTGAGTTTACTAGTTTAGTACAAAGCTTTTCTCAATCTGTAAAGTTTACTTCTCGCACAGAGCAGATGGACTCCATTACATGCCCTTTTGGATGTGTACTTGATTTTTTTGGACAGCATGTGAAACACTCCAGCGTTATCTAGCCACTTGTTACACCACCTATGTTATTACACAAGTATAGTTGCAAGTCTCTTTTGGATTTAGGGTTTTAGAACTAATTAAAGGACTTTCATCTGTTGCAGTCAGAGTTTCCCCCTCAATCACCATGTCTCCTCCATCTTGCTATGTGTTCAGCTCTTTACCAATGAGTCCACTCTACAATACAATCCTGATAAAAATCTTATGAAAAAAAATTGGAGAGTCCACTGAAAGTCGCTCTGCGTGTGCTGGTGGAGAAGGTCAGTTGCTGCATATAGATAAACATCTGTGCACTTTTGCTTTCACAGGATTTATGAACTTCATTTAAATTTTAATGGTCATTCTGTACATTACTCTTTAGGTTGGTCTTCCTGGTTTTGACTCAATGCCTTCAGCCCTCAACATGCTAACTAAGCACGCGACGTGCATCATACTGCACAACCGTTATTGGGAAAATCAGTTTAGAAAGGTTATTACCCTCATCTTGTTTGAATTGCTATTTTTTATTTTCTTGAACACACAGGAGAGCTGCGTATCTTTATATTAAGAAGGAAAAAAATTGCTATATTTCTTCTGTACTGCAACCTTGCTGTATCTGTGATTCCTTAAAGATCATCATTTGTATTTTCTTATGGGAATATCTTTTGACCATGAACTAATTCTTTCTAGTATATTTAAAAAGTCGGAAAATGACTCCTTTAGTAAATAGGCAAAATAAAACAAGAAGTTTTGAATGACTTTCTAATCAGATTGTTATAACTTCATGGTTTTTAAATGCTGCCTGGGAACTTCAGGTTTGATGAATACATTTGGCATCTTAATTGCCCGTCACTCTGCACCTTGGTCACTAGTCCCTACCAAGCAAGCACAGTTCCTCAAATGCATAGACAACTGGGATTAGTAGACCATATGGTATTACTGACACTACTCTCGATTTGTTCATTGCTGTCAAATGCTTTTACTATTTTCCACATTATGTCTGATCAACCTTTGTCAGGTAACTGTACTATCTAGATCCTCACTCAGGAATATGGCTGATACTGTATGCAAGGGCCTCTAAAGTCCCAGCAGTGTCAACAGTTGTGCCTCCCATATTCTGGAAGGCTTCAACTGTCTAAGTACCTATCTTCATAAACGTTATCTTGATCTACTCATCCTGCTAACCTTTTGTGTAAACTAGTGTAGACATGTGGCTGAAATATCCCATTTTGATGAGTTGATGATCACTTGAATGAGGCTAATCTTTTTATACATATAATCAGCCTCTTTTCTTTATATTCTATTTCTTGAGATTTATACCTTCAAAATTCATTCTCTATTTTCTGATTTTTTTAGATATCCGTTCTAGAGTTCTCTCGAGACCCATAAAATGATGAGCGTCCTCTGCAGTAGAAAACACCAGGAAATTATGTTTTCAAAAGGTGCCCCTAGAAAGTATAATGGCCAGATGCACACATATATTGTGCAATGATGATGGTTCTTCAGTACCATTGACTATGGACATTAAATAATGAGTTGGAAGCTAGATTTCAAAGGTCAGCCTTTTTCATATGTTATCTGTCTTAAGACATACTACCTTCCATGCTTTTATGGAATCTTACTATAATATTGAAATATCAGCTCATATCAATGTGGTTAGTTTCTTCTTAATATAATGATACAACTCTCTTGCATGTTCAGCGAAAACAAAATATCAATGTAGTTAGTAATACTTCTGACACTTTGGCAAGGGACCTTGATTATTTTCTCCTTAGGCTAAACTTGCTGATTTGATTGATTGTGCTGTTTTCGTGCACTTGTAAACTTTGTTAAGATTGAATACTTTTTTAAACATATATTATAGTTTTAGGCTGTAATACAAATATGCTAAATGCTCTCGAAACTCTAGTTTTGCAGGGAAAGACACACTAAGGTGCTTAGCATTAGCATTAAAAGCGGATGCCAGCTGGTCAACAAAGTATTTGTTATGGTGATGAGGCCAACCTCACATTTATAGGATTAGTACGGTTTATCATTCTCCTTCTGCTTCCTCTCTTCCTTTGTTTTCTGTTACACTTTCTTCTTGTTGTAATGTGGTTTGCCTTTTGTTTCTGTTGCGTATGATAATAATTGAGCTATTGATGAAACCATTTCTTTTGGTGCTTGTTTAGGTTGGGATGCTTGATCCACCAAGAAGAAGTCTGGGATGCTATCCACTCTTGTATGTCTGCGAGGGATCCGTGTTATAGTTGTTACTGGGGATAACAAGGTTGGTGAAATCTAGGCTTACCTTTTGAATACTTTTGCTACTGGTGAGAAAATTGTCGCACTCTTTTAGTCTACAGCAGAATCTCTGTGTAAAGCAAATTGGTGCTTTTGAGCATGAATGACTTTGCAGGGTATTCCTATACAGCATCAGAATTTGAAGGATTGCCTCCTTTGGAAAGGACAAGCGCATTACAAAGGATGGTTCTGTTTTCAAGGTGATTTCATATCATTGTCTTCTAGATAAGTCAGGACAGCTATTCCTTTGAATGGTCTTGAATTGTGAAGCTAAAAGGACAATGCAGAATGTCAGGAATTATTTTGGTGGATGAAAATGCTTTTGGACACATCACCCCAGACCATCGCTTAGCTTTTGACTGAGTTTGAGCTATAAAAGCTGAGTGCACAATAACACAAGGGTCTTGCTATTTTACCAAACCAGAGCAGTCAAGATATCCAAATTCTTGTGCAATCTGGCTTGCTGATTGCACATGCATTGAACAATGGGATGTGTAAATGGTGAAAGATTAGCTATGACCACACGAGAATAATCTAAAACAAAATAATAGTGACCTGGTGTCTACAAGGTATGAAATAGATTGAGTTTCTCTTGTTGCTTGTTAATGGTCATATGCCTACGATTGCTTCTTGTTTCAAGGAATGAGAACATAGTGTAGTTGAAAAGTTTCTGGTTAAAAATGGGAACAAGAGGCTACTTGTACTGTACATTATAGTTTGCTTACCATTGTACAGGCTGTGAGAAAATAAATTTTCTTTTCAATTCAGAATTTCATCATGTCTGATTGAAGAGGATTTTGTTTCTCAATTTCGACTTCCTAAGCAAAAGATTTTCAATTCTTACTTTGCTGGCCACCATAACATGCCAGAACACGCCTTTGAATATGAAAATGGGACCTAGCAGCAGCCTCAACACTGTGTTGAATTTGGATGTTTCTGCACATAAGCGACATGGGACAGTTACTCATAATTGATGTTGAACTTTGTTTTAAAATAATGTAATGTGATATCACATAGTGATGTTCTCAGTTCTTTACTTTCAATTGTCCTTCACTAACCTGATAATTTATACTGGATGGTGTAGAGTGGAACCTTCCCATAAGAAGATGCTTGTTGAAGCCTTGCAAACACATAATGAAGTGGTAAGCTAACATTTATATATGATACCTATCATCAAACCACCCTGTCGTTCTTCTTTAGTCATCAATGATGGGATGGAACATTGTACCTAACAAAAATTGGATGTATTTCTTTAAGAACACTTCTGTCATTAGGGTTTCTTTTAAATATTGCATAGGTCTTTTAGCTCAGACACTTTTCTTAGTTATCATTATAGTTGATATGTCAAATTTACTTTAATGGCCAATTAATTTAGCCCAGTAATGACATGGCAAACTCAACCATTATCCGTTTCCATATACTAAATTGTATTTCATTTTCACATGCAAGGTTGCTATGACTGGGGATGGTGTCAACGATGCACCTGCGCTAAAGAAAGCGGATATAGGAATAGCAATGGGATCAGGAACTGCAGTTGCAAAGGTATTAAGAAGTAAAATAAGCCCCCCCCACCCCACCCTTCCCCGTTTTTGTTGTAAAACTGGCTCCTAAGGCGCTAACATGGCTAGTATGGTTAGACACAAAAAAAATTGGGCCAGTTTCTGTAGCCAACTAAATTAGAAACCGACCCAAGTAAAATCAAGGCCATACTCTAAGTTCCGACTCAGGGAAGGAGCTTGTGCAGTGAACTACAGCTTTGGATGAATCTCTTGGGGTATTGGCACAAGAGAATGCTCTCTACCTCAGTCATGTGCTCGTAGGAGCTGAGCCTGCATACTCTCCTGTCGGAAGACATTTGTGCCAGCTAATGGAAGCATTTTTGTATTTTATTCAAGTTCTGATGAATATTTTGCTGAGTCTATCTAAATAGCCTTTGTGCTGTGTGTCTCAGCAAATGCCAACTGAGTGAAGCTCCATATATTCAATCTTGCCCTTTCTTAGATAACCAATTATTCATAACAGTTGTTTCATGTATTTAATCACTTAATGCACTTGTAATGTTTCTCTATCTCAGAGTGCTTCAGACATGGTTTTGGCTGATGACAACTTTGCCACAATTGTTGCAGTAAGATTATTTCTCATTGCATGATATACAAATAATGAGAACAATCAGTTATTATTTTCAGTTGATGATCTTTATCCAAATCCTATTCTACAATTTGTTCATAGGCTGTTGCGGAGGGAAGGGCCATATATAATAACACGAAGCAGTTTATCCGGTATATGATTTCATCAAATATTGGGGAGGTGGTTTGTATTTTTTTGGCGGCAGTGCTTGGGATGCCTGACACACTTATACCTGTGAGTGTATACTTGTATCTCTCATTTTTTGTTCACAAACCATTGTGATAATGATCTTCATAAATGCTGTATGCCACATTTTTATCATGTGCTAGAGTTTTTTTTTTCCTTGTGTTTATGTTGACCCGCTCCACCATAGGCAAATTACATGCTTACTTGCAAACCCTTTCTAAACGCCTGTTTCATTTTTTGTTGTGAATTTTTCTGTTTTTTATTTATGCAAATTATGCTTACCCTTTTCATCATTGCTTTGCAGGTCCAGCTACTCTGGGTGAACCTTGTTACTGATGGATTGCCTGCAACTGCAATTGGTTTCAATAAGCCTGATGGCAACATCATGACAGTCAAACCTCGGAAGGTAATAAACAACTAAAAATTTGGTTGTGCACCTGACTATTTGAGTATCAATTCTATGATTTCATGCTGGTAGCTTTTGCTTAAACTTTTGCTGAAACTAGGTGCTAACGCATTTGTATTGGTACTCAATTAGTCAAGTGAGCTGCAGTATAACAGACTTGCTGGGCCTTTTATTTGCACTCGGAATTTTTGGCTACAAGAATACTGCTAATACCTATGTTTGCCTACGGCCGTTTAGCCGTTACGCGCCGTATAAGCGCTACTACGGTGGCGTGCCGTTTCCGTTTAATCATCCGTTTATCCCGTTTAATCACCGTTTAGTCTGTTTAAATGGCCATTTAGTCTGAATAAGTAGCTAAACGGTAGGTGACCGTTTAGTCTGTTTAAACGTTTAGGCTAACACTCTGCGGGATATTGCATTAAGCAAAATCCTTGTATCCATGAGACTGTAGTTTGCTGATCACTTGCTTTTGATGACTACATAGATGATTGCCACATGCATGAGTTTATATTAATGACTAGGAATTGCTAGGCAAGTGATTTCAAGTAAAATGCTATGGTTTTAATTTTCTAATTGCTATCTCAGATATTAAACAATGCTCCTTTTCTTTGCGTCCCAGGTTAATGAAGCTGTGGTTAGTGGATGGCTCTTTTCCGTTATTTGGTCATTGGAGGTTCATTTCTTCTATCTACTTATTATTTGATTATTCCTACTTATAAGTGGTAGTGGCTTTTGACTCATGTTTGTTTGTTGTCTTCTGTTTTTGCTAATGCAGCTTATGTTGGTCTTGCTACTATAGCGGGTTTTGTTTGGTGGTTCGTTTATTCTGAGAATGGTCCTAGATTACCATATTCTGAATTGGTAAGTAGATAATTTGGAATTGTTTTCCTTTTTTTTTTTCCATCGGTACCTTTGTGTATTTACTGGAACTATTGTTCCATGACCTGCTAAGTGTTATCCTCAACAATCCAACAAAGTTTATACTTCAACATGGTAGTCCTGTATAGGCTATGATGTCTCAGTTGATGGTTGTTTAGTGAATTGGCTTTACCGGGTATCTTATTTTAAAATAAAAGAAATTACTCACAAGGAAAATCCCAGTTAACAACTGGGATAGGGCTCACACTGAAACAGTTCCACAGAACGGCAGTTAATTTGCATGGTTTCTATGTCAACTATGTTTCAGTCTAGACTGATGTTCGTTGATCTTTGTATTTATCATTTGGCCTGCATGGTTTGCGAATGAGTTTATAGTCTAATTTATATTTCTTCTGATGTTTCTTCTGGAACCCAATATGCATTACTTATTATCGCCTCAAACTTTTCTTTTACCCTTGCAGGTCAATTTTGATTCCTGTTCTACAAGGCAAACTTCATATCCTTGCAGTATATTTGAGGATCGTCATCCATCAACTGTTTCAATGACTGTGCTTGTTGTTGTCGAGATGTTTAATGCCTTGAATAACCTAAGTGAAAACCAATCTCTGCTGTAAGAGTTCTTTGTTCTTCATTACTGTCACTATGTTGTAAGGTTATTATTATTGGTGTAACCTGTAAGGCTGTAGAACGTGCTGCTTCCAGTAACAAATATGTTGATGCTTTGGGCACTGAGGGATTTCAGAATGCCACTATGGTAACTAATTTATGGGGTGTTATATTTAAACCAGTATACCATACTATTACAGTAGTACTTTTTAGGGGGAAATATATTCATTATAAAATAGTAAAGATATTAGTAATACCTAAAATTTGAAAAGTTTGAAGATCCTGAAATGTCACCTTGGTTTGGCTGTAGCGTAAGAGATTGCCAGCTTGCATCCATTATTTGTGTTTGTGCATTGTTCATCTTGTCTTTTCACCTGTGAAAGATGCTCATATGTATCCAATCTAAGGTATTCACACAACCATTGTCCTCGAATACAATGTTTTCTACATCACCCATGAACACTGAAACTTAGGACATTGCCTTTTTTGTCTTCACACAGCAAAAAAAAAAATGTACCTCATTTTTTGAGATTTGAATTATGATATTGGAAGCAGACATTCTTCAAAATCTAGATTTTATGTCCTGCCGTGCATGACCTTCTGCTTGTTTTGTCTTGGCCCTCCCATTTTGTGAGATTGAGAATAACAGGTGTCTCTGAAAAGGCTGTGGCATGTGCGAAAATACCTCTGTACTAATGTATCTTCACTCATGCAGTGTCATTCATCCATGGAGTAACCTGTGGCTTGTTGGGTCCATTATTCTGACAATGCTTCTTCATGTAGCAGTCCTGTACATTGAACCACTATCAGCCCTTTTCTCCGTAAGTAATTTCTCTTTGTTCTTCAGTGGTCCTTTGATCTTATTTTTTGTTAAAATAAATTGGATAAACTGTGATCTACTTATGCAGGTTTCTCCATTGTCGTGGGTTGAGTGGAAAATTGTTCTTTATCTATCCTTCCCTGTTAGTACTCTTTCTTCTTGACTTGTTATGCCATTAATTGTGGTGATACTCCCTTGGTCAAAATACTTGTCAAAGGTCCGGGTTTGAGTCGCGGTCTCCTCGCATTGCTGTGAGGCGAGGGTGAGGCTTACCACTTTATTAGACTTTGGGCCGGTCTTCAATGTGTATCTTTTGACCAGTAATTTCTTCTAGATTTTATTCTTAAAATCCTTCTTTATGAGATGTTGTAAGTAAATTTGAATACAAATGCACATATAACTTACATGGTTCCAAACTAAATAATTTAAAAGTTATTGATGTTTGTAGTTTTTAAGGTTTGACCAAATATTGTCCTGGAGTGTGTGTTTTGCTTATAGCATTGTTTTACGACACAGCCATTTTTGTGTTTTTGTATCTCTTCCTCTTAACATCATTCGGATCTTTCAAAACAAATATTTTCTCCAATTAACTATTTGGCAGACTAATTTCATCTAATTGTTAGGTAATTTTGATTGATGAGGTGTTGAAATTCTTCTCGAGAAGCCCACGAGGTATATTCCTACACAAATACTACAGCAGCTGCTGTTTTAGACAACAGAATCTGAGTTTGCTTGTTTGCAGGTCGAAGATTCCCTTTAAGGTTGTGGAGACGTGAGATACTTCCAAAAGAGTCAAGAGACAATTGATTCTAGGCTTCAGCATATGAGATGCATACGATACACAGCGAAAAGCTTGTCTTCTGTTAGTATTGAGACTGATTTTTGGCAAATGTTCATGGATGAAGATGACATTGTACAAATCTTTCTGTGGGTGATATCTAATTGATGGCAGAGCATCTTCGACAATGGGTTCGCGATTATACAATTCATTGGGGTCTCAGACTCAGATTGCTAGTTTTGGTAAGAAAACATAGAGCAGCTTCGAGAACCTTTTCTCGCTAGTTGTAGACGGCGCTACACTTGTACCAGATGCTTACAAATGAATGAGTTCATGTAACACCCCCTCCCTCTCAACCAAGGGAGTTACTGTATACATCAGGTTCTGTCAAATTATCTGGGTGACAGACACCCCGTTCTGGTATTACTGTCATTCAGCATGTTCAGGAGGTCGTATTGTATCGTGGATTATTTACGGCTGTTGGTTAGTGTGTGAAGAAAAAACTTTGTTAAAATTTGGAAATTTACGATCGTTTTGAGCAAGCGAACACAGCTGTTATACACTGCAAAAAGTTTTGCACCTTGATATAATGATATTGTTGGGCCTGTTTGGCTAATATTTACAGCCGCTGCGGCTGCAGGATGTGGATGTTCTTGCTGTGTGCTTTCCCTGTACATTACAAGCAGCCGGCAATGGCTGTAAATACCAGTGGAACAGGCTCAACTAACTCCATTCTAAATTTCTTATAAGTTATTTTGGCTTTTTAAGACAATAGATTTTTAAACTTCTGACATATACCATTACTATTCACCTATTTAGAAACTTACCATTACCATTACAATTGTCTCTGTAGCCATTTCATACCATTCAAACAATACCGGACCCACCTTTTCGTATAGCCCAAAATATCCCTTTGACTGCCCTCTCTCTGCTCAATGACATGCGGCCCACACGTCATCCCCTCCCTCTCCCACCTTCCCCTGACGACGACGAAGGCGCCCCCGTCGATGCCGCTGGACATGGGCTGCACGACCCCGAGGCAGAGCGCAGCCGTGACCACCGTGTGCTCGCCCGCGTGCAGCGTCGCGGCACCCACCTCCGAGCACCGTGCGTGGTCCGCCGCCGCCGCGCCTACGCCGGACTCCACGTCTCCACCTCGTGCGAGTTCATCGGACTCCACCGTCGGTGCACCACGTCCGCGGCCGCGCGCCCCGCCCATGCGACCACGAGCGCCGCCGCCAACAGCAGGAACCCGGTCTTCACTACCGCGGCCGCAAGGTACCGCTTCCGTGCGGCGCCCCGGCCGAAGCCGCCGCCAAGTTCCCGCTGGCTCCTTGGGGTCGCAGCAGCAAGCAATTTCGCGATGGCCTGCGCTGCGCTGCCGCTGCTCCACTGAGCGCTACTACCTCCTTGCCATTACACGAGTATTGGGAAGGAGAGAAGATAACAGCACCAGACCAACTAGCAATCGAGTGAGGCCCTTCACCGTTTCCCACCGGAATCTGGATCTCCTCTCCTTACCCAGCGTCATAGGACGGAAGGGGAAGAGCAGCTAGATGAACATGGGACTGGAATCAGGATGGACACGACGCTAACACCGGTGGCGAGCACCCCGTCCTCCTCCTGCCGAGCATGCCGTGGCGCGCCGCGGAGGAGCCTTCCTCGCCGTCCACGCTGTCGCGCACAGCACGGCCGCTTGGACCGTCGCCTATTCGCGAAGAGCAGGAGCTACCCTGGAGGCACGTAGGCAACAAGCACGGCGTCGGCGGGCTGCTGCTCGGGCAACAGGCATAGGCATGTGGCTGACTACGCGCGGCGGCGGTCTGCTGCGTGGAAGCCGGCTACGCGCGACGGTGTTCAACACAAAGGAGGAAGAAGATGACACAGGGGTCCACACGTCTGTGATATGGAGAAAGAGGATGATAGAGGGGTATTTTGGGCAATATGAAAATAAATTGACCTGCAAATGGACCCAACTGTATCTAAAGTGTACACAATGGCATATTTGATACAACTGAAGAATTATAACGATTCATCTCTAAATAGGTGAATAGTAATAATATATCTTAGAAGTTCGAAAATTGCAATGGTATGAATCAAAATAACCCATTTTGCTATATACTTAGACATAGCATATTCTGGATTTATAGTAAAAGCTATGCATTAAAAAAAGCTAAAATAATTTATAATTTGAAATTAAGGGGATAATTCATAACTTTTAATGACAGAGATGCCTATCCTCAAGTAGCGTGTTCTTCCACTAACTCTCATTGACCCTCACCGCATTGCCCAAGGCAGCAGCATATCTCCTTGGTGGTGAAATTTGGTGGACCAGCGGATCTCCTCGTGAAAGTGGTGTGTTTATATGTTCCTTTGTATAGATCTACTCATATGGAGTCCAACAAAATTGGACTTTACATTTTATGATTTTTTTGTGATTTATTATGATTTTTTAAAGATTCAGTCGAAATAAAAAAAAAGACAAAATCGCATTTGAAAACCGTTTATAACCGGTCAGGGAGGTAAAATGAACGGTTTTTAAAGTTCACAGAGATGGTTTACTTGGTTTTAGAGTAGGAGGAAAAGCAGACTTTCACGTAAGTCGAGGAAGGTAATGTGAACTTTTTTTTTAATCTTGTTAGAGTGGTGGGCTAGCAGCGAGTGAACAGGTAAGGCTTTTTTTTAAGGCAACATATCAAGTGCAAATCAATCAACTTGTGCAAACTTGGAAACTACCAATCAGGACCACTAGATGCTGATCCAATGGATGGGGTGAGGAGGCTTAAGCATAAAAAAGGCCCGACGGGTGGGGGGCTTAAGCGCAAAAAATCACACCTCTCACCCCATCCATTAGATCGACATCTAGTGGTCTGATCGGTAGTTTTCAAGTTTACTGCAGTGTTGGTTGGTTTGCACTGATACATTGCCTTTTTTTTAAAGGAGGTCGGGCTTTGTTTCGGGATCTTTGCGATCGGATCTTAAGAATCGAGGACTCTCGGCTTGAATCTCCGTCCTAAAAAAACAGCGTCATAGGAATTTTCGAGATAGATTAAGGGTGGATGAAAAATACATATGTGTATTTTATTAGTTGAGTTGCATGTACAAGGTAGAAAATATATTTCCATTTAATCATGTATGCATTGGATTAACGCATGATTACGCATGCATGAGATTTGAATCCTAGAACATCATTTTTTGACAATTTTGAATGCTAGAACATTATTTCTTTTTTGAGGCGGAGGAGTAGTTTAGTATTTTTGGAGCGAATTTGATTATAAATATTGTCAAATGTGTTTATAGATAAAATATAAATGGAGCGACTAAGCGCTTGGGACGTCTATGCCCGTAAAGTCGTTTCTCGCGTTGTTTTTCTTGGCATATGTGAACATGCATTGGCCCAGCGTCGCCATGACATCGAGAAAGAGGGGAGGAGGCGGATGCCCAGCTGGCCGGAGGAGGAAGAGACACCAATGCGAGGCGGGAAAAAGCGGGGAGGCGGATGCAACATCCGATCTACTTTTGAAACATCTAGATGTAACACTTGCAACATATATACGAGGCGGATTAAGCGCTTGAAACATGCATATGAAACACTTGGCGCAACACATCGGATCTACTTTTGAAACATCTGAGATGAAACACTTACAACATCGTCTGACGGAAACAAATGAAACACTTAGAACTTACGATGCGAAAACACTTGCAAAAACATATGCAACATCTAGATGAAACACTTGCAAACATACATACGGAAAAACATATGAAACATTGAAACATACACTTGAAACATATGTGTATAGCTATTGCAACATGTGTAACATTCCGATCTACTTTTGCAACATCAAGATGAAACATCTGGAACACTTAAAACATCGCTTGCAACATGTGCTTCAGCGCAATGTCATCTTGTTGCCTAGGCGAATGGAGGCACTGTCGTTGTGGAACTCGACACCGGTATACGGAGCTCATCGTCGGCGGCGGTGGCCTTGAGCAACTTCGCCGGCAGGGCGGCTTCACCTGAGCTCTCACCGCCCTCGCCCGGCTCGGTGGAAGCGGCCATGGCGAAACAAGCGATCTGATGGAAGCGCGGCGGCGAAGCCGCAGCACTGCAGCCGCAGTGGTGGAAGGACAGGAGGCGAGAGAGGCGTGGTGGAGAATTTTATTTTTTCGGCGGGGTGCGGATGAGAGGGGCGAAAAGCAGCGACGGTGAGTGGGGAGGCGCGTCCGTGTGGAATCATTATCGAAATATAAAGGTTGCAAATTTAAATTCCTTTGATCAGATATTCAATCAACAAAAAACATTCTTTTTTTATAACTAACATTCATATTATTTACACCCAGGCTCTCGGCTCGGCCGAACTCTCTCCCCACAAACTCTGCCCAAAATTTGAAATCCTTTTCGCTTCCCTCTTCACCGACCCCCGACCCCCGAGACCCCTGATGGCGGATCCGCCGCCTGTGCTTACGCTCCTGGTGAAGAAGGGCCCCTGCGAGGGGAAGACCCTGCAGCGCCGCGCCGGCGCCGCGGCGCTCCGTGTCGGCCGCGTTGCCAAGGGCAACCACCTCTCCGTGGGCGACGCGGGCGCGTCGCAGAGGCATCTCTCCGTCGAGTTCCTCCCGCCGCCTGCGGCCCGCTGGGCCGTCACCGATCTAGGCTCCTCCAATGGCACCCTCCTCAACGGTACGCCTCTCGTGGCCACTATCCCCGCTCCGCTCTCCGACGGGGACCTCATCAAGATCGGGGAGAGCACCGTGCTCGCCGTCTCCATATCGACCGATGCAGGCCCGGGACCGGGCCCCGCCGCGACTAGGCGTTCCGCGCGCAACGCGGCGGCGGCGGCGGAGGCGGAGGAACAGGGCCCCGCGGTTTCTCGTAGGGCCGGACGGAGGAAGGCCGGTGCGGCGGAAGCCCCGAAGCTGGGAATGGAGTGGAGGAGGAAGCTGCACTCCCGACTCGCCGAGGCGGGCGGAAGAAGGTCGGTGCGGCGGAAGCCCCCGAAGCTGGGAATGAAGTGGAGGAAGCTGCACTCCCGACTCGCCGAGGCGGGCGGAAGAAGGCCGGTGCGGCGGAAGCCCCCGAAGCTGGGCATGAAGTGGAGGAGGAAGCTGCACTCCCGACTCGCCGAGGCGGGCGGAAGAAGGCCGGTGCAGCGGAAGCCCCCGAAGCTGGGAATGAAGTGGAGGAGGAAGCTGCACTCCCGTCTCGCCGAGGCGGGCTGAAGAAGGCCGTTGAGCCCGCTGGAGTGGAGACGGAAGAGCAAGATGAAGAGGAGGAAGCGGCAATACCGAGCCGTGGCAGGTCAAGGAAGGCTGCAGTGACGTTCGTCCTTCCGCCACAACCGCAAAATACGAGGTCAGCGAGAGCTGCTGCAAGGAGAGGTGAGGTGTTGGGGTGCGAAAACGATGAGGGGGAAGTGGTCTGGACCGGAAGGGGGCGAGGACGGGTTACATGGGCAAGTGCAAGGAATGGTACGGGTGTTACTCCCGAGGAGGAGGAAGAGGAGGGTGAGGTGGCTGTGGCCAGCGATCAGGAAGGGACAGCTGCCGAGGGCAAGGGTGAGGTGGTGCCGCTGGCTGGGAGAGGACGAGCAAAGAGGGGCAAAGGAGGCCGAGGCCGCGGAAGGGCTACGAGGGCAAGTACAAAGAAGCAGGCTGAGGATGCAATTGTTGAGAACGATGAAAATGAGCAAGAAGAAAAGGATATGGCTGATGGCAGAGAACGAGTGGGGAGTCCATTGAGGGTGTTGGCTGTGAATGATTGTTCTGAAGAGGATAAGGTGGCAGCTGAGGATGACAAGTTGGATGGAAACTCAAAGGCATCCGTGGAGGATGAGAAGATGGTGGATGTGGAGGAGGATGCGGCATTGACAGAGAGGGCAATAGAGGGGAGGGTCAACGCTCAGCATGCTCCTGCTGACAATGGTGGTGTGGAAGAAGAGGAGGTGAAGAATTTGAGCAAGGGAGGGGAAACTGAATTAGATCAGGAATTGAGGGAAAAAGTGTCACCTGGGTCAAAGCTGGATGGTGTTGGAGAAGTGGAAAAGAATGACAAGAGGGAAGCTATTGGTACCAGTGGTGAGAAAGGCCATGTGGGGGAGAGCAAAGGAAGACACAGATTGGAGAATATGACATTAGGGGAGTGGTTTGTTCAGATTGAGAAATACCTTCTGGCAAAGAACGCAGAGGCTGCTGAAAAGGCGATAGCTGAAGTGCAAGAGAAACATCGGCGGTTTTGTGAACATGTTAAATCGCTCAAGCTCAATAAGAGTCCTGCTCCTTGAGATTCCATGGTACATTCAGCTATAACTGAAACATTGTCCTATTATTACTTCTGTTCATGTTTTTTCAAGAATCAATTGCAATTTTTGCAAGTGCCCCTAATATATTTGTTAAGCATGAACTTTGCTATACTGCAATGAAATATTCTTGTGAGAAATGTTGAAATCTTGTGGTTAAATCTTTCAAGTTTTTGTCCTATTGTGAATGCTGATTATAATTAGAAATTTTCTTGTAGCAAACAACTTGTTTGCCAGTGGCAAGGGATAGTTGGTAATTTTGATGCTTAATTATGTAAAGAGAGATGTACTGTAGTATAGGCCTTGTTTGGCACAACTTGTAATTGTGCAGAATTTTCTTTTATGAGAAGCTGGTGAAAAGTGTATTTTGATTATTCACCACCCTGCTACTGGTGGCTACACCACAAACCTACAGTTTGCGACACTTCAGCATTGTTGTCTTCATTGTGATATGATGGTGTCATCAAATCATCCAACATTAGGCTGTCCAAAATATTTCCAGATTACCCTGTAGAGACCATAGCAGGCTTAAGCAACTTGTGGATAATAGTCAAATAAGCAATCTATTAGTTATTAAAAAGTAAAAAGGTTTAATTCAGTTGGGCAGGATTACTGAAAGAAAACTTTGAAGTAACAGATTTATCTTAATTTCCCTTTAAGCGATTAATTGAAGCTGTGCAAAAGAAGTTAACAAAATTTCAAGCACCCTTATTGAATCATTCAGAGAATCAGAGGTGGCAAAACAGTGGACAATATCCTAAAAGAATCCGCCAAATTCTTGTACACAAATGATTCTTGTTAATTAGATATTCATGGTAGCAAAGGGTCAGACAAGCTAATATTGCAGGTGAACTGTGCACCATGACTCTCATGAAATCACAGTCACAGCACACAGGACCATAAAATTTGTCAGCAACACAAAGGCATAGTTCAAGTATGTGGTATAATAAGAAAAAAGAAAAACTAAGCATGGACAAAAAAAAAAGTCCCTGAAGAACTATAACCCTGCTTATTGATAAGCTGCTGCAGAATCATGTTGTTTGTCGCAGCTTCTGCTTTGTCTGTGAAAACTAAGAAATAAGCCCTGCCAAGCAGGGTTATAGTTCTTCAGGGACTTTTTTTTGCTTAGTTTTTTCTTTTTCTTATTATACCACATACTTGAACTATGCCTTTGTGTTGCTGAAAATTTTATGGCTCCTGTGTGCTGTGACTGTGATTTAGCATGAGAGTCATGGTGCACAGTTCACCTGCAATAGCTTGTCTGACCCTTTGCTACCATGAATATCTAATTAACAAGAACCATTTGTGTACAAGAATTTGGCGGATTCTTTTTAGTTGTCTTGCCACCTCTGATTCTCTGAATGATTCAATAAGGGTGCTTGAAATTTTGTTAACTTCTTTTCTTCATGAATAAAGGAAATTAAGATAAATCTGTTACTTCATGCTTTCAGTAATCCTGCCCAACTGAATTAAACCTTTTACTTTTTAATAACTAATAGATTGCATTTGAAGTTGCTTAAGCTTGCTATGTTCTCTACAGGGTAATTCTAATGTTGGATGATTTGATGACACCATCATATCACAATGAAGACAACAATGCTGAAGCGTAAAACTGTAGGTTTGTGTGTGTAGCCACCAGTAGCAGGGTTGATCTTCTAAGTTGTTTATTCCAGACTTAGTAGTTTGCTACTATTCATGAATGTGACGAGAATGTCATGCTAGTATGTATAAAGCAGTATAGTTAGCTCCACTGAATTCTCTGTTGCATTCAGTAGGGTTCTTATGTCCTGAACCTCTATGATAGTTAACTGAATTCTCTGTTGCATTCAGTAGGGTTCTTATGTCCTGAACGGCTGAACCTCTATGATAGTTAACTGCAGTATATCCTTTTATCTTGTGTCTCGTTTTATAATGCAGGTATTTGGAGGATTATTGACCTTGTCTCCATTCCACATGCTGACATGTGAGTTTTTTTCTCTTTTCTACTAGTACTAGTACTTGTTTAGGAACATGCTATTCTTCTGCTTAGAGGCCCCAATACCACCGGAGGCACTGCATGAAAATGATATGTGATGAAGCGGCTTATGTACAACATAGGATCTGATAGTTTATTCCTCTTTATTTACTTGCTTACCCATTGCTTATGGCTTATGCGAGCTTATATCCAATGCCAATAGTTAGTGAACAATTGTAGATGGTTCTGAGATTCTGACTGCAGTCGTCCTCGTCCATAATGTGAATTCAGCCTTACTAATGGACGAGTAGAGAGGCAAACATACAGAATGATTTTTTTTTTCTTGAAAGCATAGGAGACATACGTTTCGTTATAATAATAAGAAAACGAGTCTAGAATCATACACACCCATTTGGGTGAAGTTCAGTACACAGGAGGATTTGCCAGATAAAACAATGCTGGCCGTTGTTGAGATTCGTAGCACTGACCATCGTTGGGATTTGACACTTGGGAGTCGAGGGCAAAGCAGATGTGTCAGAGGCTCACCGTCCAGCCACCTTTGAGCCATCGCGAAACTTTCTTCAGGCTGGTATTCTGGAGTGGTATGGCGCCACCCTGCGCATAAGCAACACCGCATTGGGTTACTTAGGGTACGTCTGATTACCTGATCCAATCGTGAAAACGTCGTGAGCTATCGACAAAATCTGATAGGGATTAGGGACATAGCTACCTTCACCGTCGCAAAGGTCAAATTGTTGGTGTATGTTATATCGTAAACCTGAACAGGATAATTAAAGAAAAAATGCAAGTGATGTCCCTGTCAGAGAGCGGATTCAGACGATTGAATTGTAATACAGTTTTTATTTGGCAAACATTTGTATATTCAGCAGGTGAACTAAACCCCTGTACACGTCAGTGTATGTAAGGGAAAAGAAGAAGGGAGTTAGATGACTTAACCCAGCAGCCTGGCCGTTGAGGTGCCACGCTCTCCAGTCATCAACTATGGAGAAATTCAGTGATCTTATCCACGCTTGCGTGCCGAGGAATGGCACCATAAGGTCATGGTCTCCACTGCACCCACAAAGATGGCAATGGCATGGCATGGAAGAAGGTTCAGGCTCAGGCTCAGCTAGAAAGAACTGTTCTGAATTCTTGGATGCTCACCTGTACACAAGCGCACGGTAACCTCTGGTCGTGAGGTTTAAATGGTATGATGCTCCTTGGGAGGTCTTTTGCGTAAAGGAAGCCCTTCGATGCACCTTATCCATTCGCCAACTGTCCCCTTTGAAGATCGTCATATTTGCATCATTATTTTTTTGACGTAAATATTTGCATCATTATTAAAGCCATTAGTACAAAAAATGTGCGATTATGCGGCCTAGAGAATCATTAACCACAGGCCCAGCTTCAAAAATTAAGATATATTATAACACTTGACTTTAGAGTCTGCTTAGCACTTAGCAGAAGCAGTTTTATGACAAGAACATACTATTCAGGAGTACAAGCTGAAAAAGTACCTCCTTCCGTTTCAAAGAAAAGAAAAAGAAATACCTCCTTGATCCCAAGAGCATCCCTGGTAGTATCGTTGTTCATCCAATAGTAAGCCAAGTAGTAACCATATGTCTGCAATTTCAGAAAACAATTTCAGATGAATTCTTGCTAGAAGAACGGAGAGGGTCACATCACATCATCATACCACATGCAGTTGTAGAGACCAACTTACAAAACAATGAAGTTTAGGACGACCCGGTGGCTCATTTAGCTGTATAGATTCTTCTGATAGAACCCTTCTTGAATCGCCATTATATTTGGGTTTTGGCGCAGCTACAGGGCATACGTCGTACAGGATATGTGCTTTTGGGATTTCAGAAAGGAGCTGCAGTGAAATTAGAAGGCGGCATTGGTTACATACATGAGGAAAAGAAGTAAAAACAGGTCAGAGCACATGTATCTTTCTTACATCTTTAATAGTGAGCAGCACCTCAGCGCACAATTTGTTTGCAGGGTTTACATAATCTCCTTTGCAATGCTCCACTGCAGCCTTTGTAAAAGGAAAAACGGAAACATTCTACACAAAGCTTACCCTGGACTTGGTCAACGTGTATGGATGTGGAATTACGTACCTCGTATAGCTGATCAGATATGATTCCAAAGCCATGAGAAGCTGGAATCACGAAGTTTTCATCAAACCTAGAGTCTGTTACAGGATTGCCAACTAGATAGCCCTGTAAAATTGTAAACGATTGTATAAGCACAACAAAGAACTTGGCACATGATCGCACACTATTTTGACTCCTTTTCTTTTTCTCCATTTAAATTGTTTGAAGACCAGAGAAAAAACATGCCTTGAGATTGATGCGAGGCTGCTGCCTTTCATCAATTCCTGAAGCATAGTATAACAAAATTCAAGAGTCAGCAGCTTTATGATTTGGAAGGGAAAGTAGATTTTTTAGCAGAAATGCTATACAACACACATGTGTTTTAGCACCAAAAAAATACATGAATTTTTTTTCTCTCTCTCTCCCTCTCTCTTTCGCACCGGTGACCGCTGGTGCCGGCACCGGCGACCGGCGAGCTCGACCCGGCGCCCGCGCCCGCTCCCGGCGCGCCTCCCCGCGCCCGCGCCAGCCATGGCAGTGGCAGCGGCGGTGGCGGCGACAGATCTGTGATTTGTCCTTGCATAGAAAAAAAAATTGTGATGTGTGATCTGTGATCTGTGGAGGCTGGAAGCTGGAGGTAGAAGAAGGGTGGAGGCTGTTGGATCTTAATCCTATGGTGCAAAAAAAAATCATGTGTTGAAACTGCATAAAACACATGGTTGTGTAGTAGATAGACTCTTTATTATATATATATATATTTTTTTTTGTAAAAGAGGAGTTTCCATTGAACAAAATTTCAGAATGGTATTCGAAAATGAATAAAGAAAAGGGTACCATACCATTCATGTTTACTGAAAATTAGAATATCATTGGGTATGATGCTAGTTAAATTGTGAAATTATTTGCGCTTTTTCATGTATTTTGAGATATACGTGGAGCATTCTGTAGAGTTTACCTTCTGAAATATACTGTGCAATAAGTGGAACCACCTTTCCAGCATACGAATCTCCACCAATGTAGAAAACATTTGAAAGGTACTGCGGATGATCGATGAACCACTACATAATAACCGTACAGAAGTTGGCAAGTAATTGAGGCACACGGTTCTTCCATAGAAACACTTATTCAGGGCTACCAACTATGCTTATTTTCACCTGCTTCAGGAATGTGACGATTTGCAAAGACGATGAGTAGTCTCCTACATCATAGCCTTTGGGATCCCGCGCATACGAGAAACCAGAGCCAACAGGGGAATCCACGAAGAGAATACTTGCCATCTGAAACCGTCAACAAGGCGCAAACTGAATGCAAATGAGGCTTTAGGAAAGAGAGTTTTTTTAGGACTATGAATTGATGTACATCACCATTCACCTGTGTCCATGAATATGGGTTGTAGACCAACTGCGGCAGGCTGCTTTGGTGAGGCGTATAAGGTGCCAACACAAATTTTATAGGACCTGTGCAAGAAGATGACACGCTTGGATATATATTAACATCTACAACATGAAAAAAACCATCTAGAAAAAAACAATATATATTGACATGAGACATTATAGATGATTATGGATGGATTGGATTGGATGGGCTAATAACTAACCTACTTCAAAGGCGAGGCCGCTGAAGACGGTGCAGCGTGGCCCGCCGGTGAGCCACAGGAGCACGGGGTCCGTGCGCGGGCTCCGCTCCGACTCCACGAAGTAGTAGAAGAGCTCCGTCCCGGTGTCATCGTCCACGCCCACGTACCCGGTCTCCAGGTAGAAGGGCAGAGAGCCGTCGAATCCCGGCAGGTGCGTCACCACCGACGACGACGACGACGACGCGCGGGACGGCGGAAGAAGGAGGAGGTAGCAGGCAGCGGCGAGACGCAGCAGCAGGGAGAGACGGCGGCGGCGGCCGCCTCCAGCATGCATCGGAGGAAGTGTGAGCTTGAAGGCCATGCTTGGGATCGTGTTTGGATGTGTGATGAATGGAGAATGCGTGGTAGAGTCCCTACATGTCGAGCTCCGTGGGACTGTGTTGATTTTGATTACTACTCCTAGTAGTTATTAGTGGTGTTCGACCTCATCTCGGTTTTTTCTATTTATTTTATTTTAAAATGAGAAACAAGGACGATAGGATCATAGAGGAGTCACGTCTCGATCATATACCTAAAATACTAAACTGAAAAATCTCGAGATTAACAAAGTTATTATAAATGTCTCGCTGCTGAAGAGCATGATGTTAAATTCTAAAAAAAAATATATATACGAGCACTCACATCAAATCAAGAACTTAAACCTAGATGTCTAGACGAATAGGTTATCATTAAAATCAAACCACACTCAATTCGTTCGAGATATCACACACGGGCGGAGCCATTGTTGAGTTGTGATCCAATTTTAGTTATGTACAAGATAAATGCTAACTTCTGCCGGAGCGAAGCGAGGCCCGTCGCCAGGAGGCTTGGGCCCCTATTAGGGTTTTCTATCTCTATATATATCTCCTGTAAGCCGTCGTTTTAGGATAAGAAAAGTTATAAATCCCTGACGTTTGTAATCTCACCCGATATAGTGAAGATTTGCTGGCTGGTGCCCGTGGTTTTTTTCCCTTCTTCCTTGGAAGGGTTTTCCACGTTAAAATCTCGTGTCCCCGGTATGTTTGATCTACTGTTCTTCATCATTTATATTGCATATCGTTTTCTAACAGCCATCGCCTTACGATCTCGGACAGTCATCTAGGCTCGTTGGTGAAGTGCAAAGATTTTTTTTTTAAATCCGTATCAACAAGAAACAATATATTTTTTAGGTAATTGTTGCAAAAAAAATATTTTTAGGTAAATATTTGTACATATTTGAAATCGTTAGGGCTCCTAAAATTTTCTGGCTCCTGACATCACATCTTGACCCAACTTAACAAAAAAACAGCACATCTTCGACCTGGGACCAAGATTCAGTGACTTGCTAGACGCTGTGACTTCCGTGGCATCTCAGGCGTTGAAATCGAATCAATGGCCCTTAGTAGTGATTCAAAGAAAAAACAAAAGGGATGAGGGAGGTAGGCGGCAGAATAGAACCACGGAGGCCCTTGGTGGTGGGAGAAAAATTCTGCGCACTCGTGATGTACGGTGGTACCTGGTGTCCGGAACACGAGATCGTCGCACTGCATGGACGTGCTCAATTATAGCCTTGCTATTATTTTCTCTTCCCCGTAAGAACATGCCGTTGAGGCAAAAACTTAGTCAAATCTTAAGAACTACAAACTTCAATAACTTTCAAACTATTTAGTTTAAAAACGTGCAAGTAATCTTGAAAATACTTATCCAATAAATTTAAAGGATTTTAATAATAATATTGTAGAAAAAAAATAGTGGTCAAAATAAAGAAGACCATGTAAAGTAAAATGCAACAGGTTTTTATTTTACAGGAGGGAAGATAGTATTATAAAAGAGACCACCAAATTACTAAGAAGGTGACGAATTTTATTACTTATATAGCACAAAAGTCTGATGCGTTCCTATGCATCTCTTGATTCATTCATAAAAGGCTACCACCTAAGTTATCTTCATTGTCGTGGTGTATATTACTAGTTTACTACTACAACTCTTTGACCACTTCTGCTTTCTCCGCGTCAACGTTCTGAAAAAGGAAAACCGGTTCAGCAATGTTCTCAGTTTCAGTTTGTGTTGTAATGCATAGACGTGATTGTACAAAGACCTTCGCTTCTTCATTGTGACTTGAATTTTCAACCTTGCGCTTCTGCAAGAAGTTGAAGAAATAAATCAGTCAAACTTCTACTGGTCAGAGCAGAGTAGACAGAAATTGGAGGTCAAATATAACTCGTAGCTCTTGAAATGGTTATTCTCAGTTAGGCTTGACCATTCAGTTCCCTATCAAAATGGAAATGGAGAGCATGGTGAAATGTTCACAGATAGAGAAAGTAGGATATCAATTTATCTTTTTACTTCCGCTCCCTTTCCCTCCCTGCATACCACCAGTGCTAGTATCATGGCACAATTGAAACCAATGAGATTGTGTTTTAGACTGAATTGGTTAATTCTAGTACCGTATGCATAACTGGGCAGTTAGCGCTATTGTTTAAACATCACCCCATAGAGATTTATAAATAAATTCTACACTAGAATGGACCTACAGAAGTGGTGTGCACTTTCACCTGAGAAACAAGTGGCACACGGAAACTAAACTGCATCAATTCTATGCAACCAACTAACGGCTCTGCTAGCAGCTAAAGTAGAATGTGCTCAAGAATTAAAAATGCATAGAAAGTCAAAGGACTAAGTTTCCATGTGCTTGACAATTAGGACCAAACATTACTTCAGAAATTATCCTTTTAGATGCTACTACTCATAGAGAAAAAGTAAATAATTTAAAGTACCAATAGAGTAAAGTTCAGGAAAAACAGAAAATGAAAGAGTTTACCTTTGACACCACATCGGATTCTTTTGCTGTTCGATCAAAAAATGTTTGCATAGACCTTTGCGTCCACCTTGTTACGCTCCACCTGAAGCTTTTTCAGATTTGCTTGAAGTAACTTCACCTCCCTAGGGATGAAGAATGGAAAACTGAACTGCATATAATGCTACTACACCAGAATATGACAGGAAAGAAAGGTTTGTGCTCACTTGTTGTTAGGATCCAATTCCAGTGCTTTCAATACATCTGTCTTGGCTAATTCCAGGTCATACAGTTCACCATAAGCTTGTGCTCTCCGATACAAAGCCTTCACATTGCAAGACTCAATTTCTAAAATCTGACAGAAGAAAATCTGTACCTTGTAGCAAACTTCAGCTCCAACCTCTAGGTGAAATCAAAGTCATGTTCCACATACCTTTGAACACAAGCTAATTGCTTGGGTAAAATCCTTCAGTTTAAGGCAGCATGCTGCATGGTTTAACCAGCAGGATACTCTCAAAGTTTTAATTAACTTTTCAGGTTCATCTTCAAAATGTCCATCCTCATTAACATAACCTCTCTGAAGACCATGGATCCAAAAGTATGAGAAGGAAAAACTTAAACTACCTTGTTATACTTGTTTGCAGCCCTTTGAAACTTCCCGATCTTGAATAAGTCGTTGCCAGCAACTTTTGATTTCTCTGCAGCCTCTAACTTTTCATGGGCACTCATTTCCCATGATTCTTTTTCCTGCCACGCCAGAACCCAGAGTGCACAATAAGTAGAGAAAACAAAAGACAGATGGAGAAGATGAACTCTAGTTCGACTAGTCAATACCTTTGTGAAGGTCATCAATTCCACTTCATATATCAATGTAGACCAAGGAGGTACCGTTGTCAACTGCCTTTTAACTTCCGTGTGGCCAAATCCATACTCAAATTTCACTGTCACTTTAGCAAGTTCTCACCATTGTTGCCACTGCGCTATCTAATCCAACTGTTACCTGTTCTGCAAGTGAAATACCATAAAAGGAGGAAGTTAAATAAGCCAGTATAATACTAACAGATATCTACATATTAAATAAATATAAAGGCACAAGCACATAATAAAACAACTTTACATGAGAGTAACAGATAGCTGAGCCACAATCACCATATCGGCCCCGTTCGCTGGTCTGAACTTTGGCTGAAACTAGCTGAAAAACACTGTTCCGGCTGAATTGTTGTGAGAGAGAAAAACAATTGTTCGGCTGAAAAATAAGCCGAACAAGCCAAATTTAAGACAATGACGAACGAGGCCATCATAGATAGGCAAAAACAACTTCACAAATTATGTGGTTGTATTTCTAGAATCATGAATTTAAGCGTGAAATGATGGAAGAACTCAATACTTCTGAGAGGAATAATGAAATGAAACAAATATAAAATATATGCTACTGATGTTGGAAAAGATACCATGACCATAGTTCTTGTGATGTTCCTAAATGATTATAATGATTGGAATACTAGGGTACATTTGGTTTCTCTGAGGAGCTCCTAAAATTCTGTCACATCGAATGTTTGACACATACATGGAGTATTAAATATAGACTAATTACGAAATTAATTGCACAACTTACGACTAATTTTAAGAGGACGAATCTTTTAAGCCTAATTAGTCCATGATTTGACAACGTGGTGCTACAGATAAACATGTGCTAATGGCGGATTAATTAGGCTTAAAAAAATCGTCTATAAATTAGCCTCCATCTATGTAATTGGTTTTGTAATTAATCTATATTTAATGCTCCTTATTAGTATCTAAACATTCGATGTGACATAAATTTTAGGAGCGACTATAGAACCAAACACTCCCTAACTTCACTAAATAGTCAAAATCAGTCACCTTCATCTATGATGAATTCAAAGGGCTCCCCGCCAAAGCCTAGCTTTTCAAAGACAGTACCATCCTCGAGGCTGCCAATATATCTAAGTAAATGTAAAGTCAAAATAGGTGTCAGCAGGAGATTGAATTACAACAAATCATTCCATCAAATCAGAAAGTAAAAGAATCCTGACTATGAACAGTTCACCATCATGAGGGGTGCGAATACCATCACCACAATTTAATGTCTTCTTCATTACTTTCAAATCTCCTGTAACATCAACTACTGGCTTTAATGAAACTAATCCCACATCCATACTGACTGCAGAATTTGGTGGAACAGCAGAAAATTGGTTTTTAGCAGCTCTTCCCTGCTCCCCAAATGCATCTGTGTTCGACAACCCAAACCAATTTTGAATAAAAAACCAAACCTGTTTAGTATACGGACAGTCACTGCAAAATGTGTCTGTTTTCTGTGTATGTGGGTTGCAGTGTGTTAGTCGGCTAGGCTATTGTGTTATGGTAATGTGGGGTTTTTTTTCATGTGTATTAATCCATGTGTCCGTAAGGTTTTCAGGCCTGATTTCTCTTTATAAACTAGGTCAATTCTATTCTTCTTAATTGCAGTGGCGGAGCTGGCCCTCAAAGCAAGCAGGGGCCAAACGGGCCTCAAGAACGTACTGCTACAGGCAAGCATGGCACCATAGCTAGCAAGCTTGCATGCATCAGGCATCTAGTTAGTAGTAACAGACAAAACAACTATGCATACAGCTATATCAGTAGACAGTAGGGAAATATACATGCACTTGCACATGACAACTATGGAACTTGATGTACGGTAAGGAGGGCCATGGCCCTCTATGGCCCTAAGGTAGCTCCATGCCAGCTTAATTGAAAAACAGAGCTCTTGCCATTATGTTTAAAAAAATGTGTCTGCGTTTCAGGTTGTACTCTATACAGCTTGCAGATCAAACCGTTCGGCTACCCGCACTTGTTCAAGATTCTTGGTGTGGTAGAGTCCACGTGAAGAAGAGACAGTTTGCTGAGTAGTCAAGCAAAACTCTGGTTGAGTCACTCTGGAAGTAATGTAGCGACGATCATGTAAGGCTGATACTCTTGTGTTTGGTTACACCGTCTTTGCACAAATTAATTACGTGTACAATAATTGTCATTCAACTTCTGAAATAATTGAGTTCTATGTGAAAATGTATGGACAATTTGTTTGTGAAAACTTGTCACAAGGAGCACAGAGACATGGGCGGATCCAAGGGTATTCCTGGTATTCCTAGGAATACCCAACTTTTTGAGATACTTTTATGTATATATGTGTATATACTTGTGTATATATATGTATATTGCAATATTATGTACTGTTTTTCGCTCATTGCAGCCCGAATCGATGTCATCTGCCTTTCAGCCTTGCCTCCAAACTTCCTCCTTCCCGGGGCGGCCCACTAGGCCCACTCAAGCACTCCACCCCTTCCTTCCTAGCCTCGACCCACCCCGAGCCCCCGACACCCCTCGCCCCTCGGCCTCTGCTTTCGCACACGGGACACGGGACACGGGACGGGGACGCGATGGGCGCCCTGGCATGAGAGGCGGGCTGCAACCCGGCGGAGCGCGACTTGCTTGTGGTCAGCATAAGCTGCAAGGGCACAAGGTAGCAAAAGCAGATGTGCGGGGCTGGCCGAGGCGAGGCAGAGGCCTTGAGGCTGCTGAGGCGCCATGTGTGTGCCAGCCAGCCGGGCAGCCATCGCCAGTGCCCAGTCCTAGGGGACAGCAGAACTCTAGGTTTGTGATCAGTTTTACTTGACAAAAATCATGGCAATGCTAATATAACCTTATGCGGTGCAATATATAGGTCCAAGTTATTAAGAACACTTACTTATGTTTGGTCTTCCGTAAGCTTTCTTATGAATGCAAATTTATTAGTGTTATAGTTCCATGCATTCTCCATATGACACGAGGAAGGTAAAGTAATGTCTATTTTATTTAATTGCTTGAGTAGACAACCTGTTTACGTGATGTGATAATACTACTATAAATTAGTATATTTGAAACCTAAGCTATCATATATTGAATTTTTTTTTCGCACATGGGAATACCCAACTTCAGAATCCTGGCTCATACTTAACACGAGAGGACATTATGTGCGATTATGTGCGAGGTCAACTGATAATAAAGCATAAAAATTGCTCAATATATACCTTACCTGGGCAAAACTCTATGATGTTGCTCAGCCCCTACCATTTGCTTTCAAAGTGAAAGAAGTGCTCTTAGCAAAGATCGCGATTATGTTTGAACAATTTAACACGATCCAACACAAGCACACAAATTTCATAAATCAATCCTACTATCTATACCGACCTAATACTAAAGAGGCGAAATTTCTGTCACCGTAGTTTTTCTGCCACCAGCTCATGTACGTGTCGCTCTGGGGTGCTCCCCCGTGTACGATTCACGCTGCGTTAACATTGAGAAGGGAGAATAGGACCGTGTCCGTGTCGCTCTAGCGTGCTCGCCCGTGTACGATTCACCCTACGTTAACATTGAGAAGGGAGAATAGGAGTGGTGAAGAGAATAGAAAGAAATCTGGGGTTTAGGATGTAAAGATGTGAGAGAGAGAAAGAAAATGTGGGAGGGTCTTAGTAGTTTTGAAATAGATCGGGTTCTGATGCAAAGTGTTTAAATCGGGTGGACCTCTCTCTGGTGGGTTTCTTTTTTGAATCTTCTACAGTTGGGCGGCTTCGTTTGTGAGCTGGACCAAGCTCATGCAAGCCTTTTTCCTTTTCTTTCATTTTTCTCTTTTTTCTATAAAAACATAGATCTTGCAAAATTCAACAAAAATCATAGAAAAATAAAAAATACCAAATCAATTTTGTTAGCTTTGTAAAAATATGATCTATCCATAGATGTTATAAACCTTGTTAGGTTATGCTTTTGTCTATAGGTGTGCTAAATCATCCTTACATATGTTGCATGCATTTAGGTTCCTTACGAGGTCTGCCGTGTGAAAAATAAAGAGAGGTCTCCCGTCACAATTATTGGCGGACATACCCCTATCCTTAGCACATCCACAAAAATGTTACGGAGGTTGATATGATGCGTCAAAAAAGCTAGAAAGGTCAATATCAAGTCATAGAAACACATGGTTAGCATGAAAAATTAATGTTATGATATATTTATATCTAAATAATTATGCTCTTTGCAATGGAAGGAAAAATATACCAAGGACATTGTTATTTATTGTCAACATTAATTTATATTATGAATGTGATGGTCATTATAAAATAAATTATAAAAGCATAAAATATAAGTAGATATGTACCATTCACGTTATCGTTTTGCATAAATGTTTAATAGTTTTTTTTTCACCCATTGCAACGCACGGACATATTTGTTAGTACGGAGAAAACAAATCGTATTATACGAAGAAAACAAGCCTGCACTGAAACTGAAACTAACATGTAAAAGGGGAACCCAAAGCTGTTCGGTACCAAAAGCAATCTATCTATGTTCCTCCATGTCAGATTACAAAGTAGTAGCACGGTTGAGCGCAGAATTCAGACATACATCATCCACTTACGTCCTTAACTCCTAAGTCCTAACTAATGACCCCCTAACCGATCAATCAAACACAGAAAGCTTCTGGTACTCCTCGCCGGCGATGGCTGCCTTCATGACGGCCTCCGAGTTCACCACACCATCGTGCTCCAGGAAAAGCTTGACCAAGTTCTTGGAGAAGCCGCTCACCATCGCGACTCCGGGCTGCGTTGACGTCACCGGCGTCGACTTTGAGTCCCTCAGGTTCCAGAACACGATATGAGGCACTGCGTCGCCGTACCCGGCGTCATTGAACTTGCGGCAGATGGCCTGGTAGTCCGTCTCCCAAGGACTAGCAGACGCCTCGTCGAACTCCATGTCACTGAACACGAAGACGGTCCTGATCATCTTCTCCTTGGGCAGCCGACCGTCCACCGCCGTGCGTAGGATGCGGTCGAAGACCGCCTGGAAGTTGGTGTTCATGTTCCAGTCCATGCGCTTGATGAAGCTCATCTTCTGGACGAGGGTCATGCCCTCAATCTTGTGGATCTGGGGAGTCTCACTGAACGTGATCACCCTGCCCGCCCATGGCTTCTCGCTGAGCTCAGAGATGAGCAGACCCAGCGCCACGCACACCTCCATCGGCGTGCCGTTCATGCTCCCGGAAACGTCGCAGACGGCGATGCAGTTGTTTAGAGACCCCTTCTTGCGGAGGTCCTCCACCATGCGCCGCCACTGCAGCTCCGACACATCGTCGGCCTCGCCACCAAACGCAGCGGCGGCGATCTCGTGGGGCAGGAGCGCGCCAGCCGCGATCTTGGCCTTGCCAGCCTCAACGTCCTCGAGGTACTTGTCGAAGCGCGCTTCGTCGTGCTTCTTGAACAGGGCCTTGTAGCGCCTCATGGTCACCGACGCCACGCGGGTGTAGGGCAGCTCGGACCACCGCTGGGCGCTCATGTACACCTCCGGGAGCTCCAGGACCTTCCGCAACGGCACAAGCACCTCGCGGCGGAGACGGTGGTGCACTCGGTAGGAGTAGTGCTCCTCTGACAGGTCAGAGTAGTCGGGGCTGGAGTCGCTCGGGAAGAGGCGGCGCGCGATGGCCTCGCAGAGCAGCGTCGTCCGGTCGAACGACGAGCCTGGCGTGGGGCACCACTTGGCGGCGAGCCGGATATTCGTCTTCCTGCCACCGGGTGCTAGCTGCTCGAGGTCGGAGGCGAGGAGGTCAGCGAAGAACTGGGCGACGCAGTCGAAGAGGAAGCGGTAGGTGCCATTGCCGTAGTACGTCTCCAGCGATTGCACGGCGAGCTTGACCACCTTCCGCACCTCCTTCGTCATGGGGATCTCCTTCGCGGCCGCCACATCCATCGCCTCCGGTTTGTTCTCCACGGCTGCCTCCTCTGTCTCCATAGACGGCGCGCTTTGGCCGTGCGCGCACTTCTTTCCGGCCAGCCTGGCGGTGCGGACCTCCGGGACCTTGCGTCTGATCTTCTGGGTTTCCGCCTTGGCCTTGTAGAGCTTGCGCGTGTCGGCGCCGTGGATGAGGCGGTAGAGTAGCTCGGGGAAGTCCTTGAGGTAGCCAAATTCGGCGAGCGCGGGAAGGTTAGAGGCGAGCGTCTTGGGATGGCGCTCGTGCATCCAGAGCGCGGCCGCGTAGAAGCCCTCCCTGTCGGACTTGGCCGTGCCACGCACGCCGCAGAGGTTCGCGATGAGCTTGAGCGCGGTGAGCGGGTCTTGTGCCCACGCAATGGTGACGAGCTCGCGCACGCGTTGCGCCGGCATGTCGGGGACGACCTGGAAGAAGTGGTCGAGGCAGGGGTTGCGGGAACTCGCATAGGTGGCCGAGTTGTTCTTCGTCCGCGCCATGCGGGGCCCCTTAGCGCCGTTGGCGGCATTAGGACCAGCTGGAGGGTCCTCGTTGTTGAAGTAGGCGTCGAGGAGGTCGAGGAACGGGTGGGAAGCGGGGGCCTCCGTGTTAGTGGTGATCTCACCGGCTCGGCCCAATGGTTGAGTTGGGCCTTGACCTCGCGCCCTGATCGGGGGCGTCCAACCATACATAGTTGGTGGGCCCCCGTCACACTGCGCTATATAGAGAGGTGGGGGCCGGTGGCTCTCTTCACGAGGTTGATCGAGCTACAGTTCCCACCGACAAAATCCTAACACCGATCTAGAGAGGGTGCGTAGCCAGTGACTGGAAGCCGCCACCGTCTTCTCCGCTAGGACATCGCGCCACTGCTGGACCGCACCACTGGACTCCACAGCAACACCGACATCGCCATGGACGGCTCCAACTCTTCCGCCAAGCCCTCCGACGGTAGGTGATGTCTCACCTCTCACCCTCTCATCTCTGTTACTCTATTTCTTCATGTACTAGGATGAACTACATCTTTTATCACAAGTAGAAGAGGTTGTACCCGCTAGATCTATGTCTAGTTGATCCTACAGTATCTATCAATGGTATTTGTCGAGCCTAATCTGGGCGTAGATCTAGGTTTTGGGGTAGAAAAGAAGAAGAAATTAGAAGGAGGTGATTCGATTTTTGATCTGGATGAAACCCTAACCCTAACCTTAAAGGGAAAAGGATGGAGAAGGGGAGGAACCTACCTGGTTTTCTTGCCTCCGTCGACACCGTCGTTTGCACGGGAAGAAGACCGCGCCGCCGTTTCGTCAGGGCGCGGGGAGGGAGCCGCCGCGTGTACCCTACCAGGATTGGGCGCAGGGCACCGCAGCAAGACCGCTCGACGGCAGCACGCTCACCCTCGGGTGAACGCGTGTGCCGGTGAGGGGACCTGCGGCGACGGCGCTGACCTCATTCCTCCGTCTGCGCTACGGGTGGCCGCCATCGCTGCTCTGCTTCGCACTGAGAGAGGGAGAGGGAAGGGAATGAGGCTAGGGTTTGGGGGGAGAGCGTCGTCGCGCCGTTTTGATCAGCCGAGACGCGCGCTCAACCGTCGATCTGAGATGGACGGCTACGAGCGCACCGGGCCGGATTCAGCCTAGGCGAGCGAGTGGAATCCTAGCCCAGGCCCAGGTTACGCCTTGGGCACGGGGGAGCGTGGGCGCGAGCCATCACCATGAGCGAATTCTTCTTTGAGGCTGCGATAGTGCTTGTGATCTTAAGCGATTTCGACCCAAGTTGCACTGATCCACTTTTTTGTTTTGTTTTCTAATTTTCAGAGGCAAA